AGGAGGAACAGCATGAGCACTGCAGGAGCCCTACAAAATGACTTCCAGCAGGCCACTGGTGTGAATGTCTCTGACCAAACAATCAGAAATGACTTCATGAGGGTGGCCCGAGAACAATATCCTCTAGTGGGCCCTGTGCTCACTGCACGACACCATAGAGCTCGATTGGCATTTGCCGTTGAACAGCAGAATTAGCATGTCAGCCACTGGCACCCTGTATTTTTCACAGATGAGAGTAAGTTCACCCCTGAGCACATGTAACAGACGTGAAAGGGTCTGGAGAAGCTGTGGAGAATGTTATGCTGCCTGTAACATCGTTCAGCATGACCGTTTTGGTGGTGGGTCACTGATGGTCTGGCTGGGCATATCCATGGAGGGAACGCACAGACCTCTACAGGCTAGACAATGGCACCCTGACTGCCATTAAGTATTGAGATGAAATCCTTGGACCCATTGTCAGACCCTACACTGGTGCAGTGGGTCCTGGGTTCCTCCTGGTGCATGACAATACCCAGCCTCATGTGGCAAGAGTATGCAGGCAGTTCCTGGAGGATGAAGGAGTTGATACCATTGAATGGTCCCCACGCTCGCCTAACCTAAATCCAATAGAACACCTCTGGAATATCATTTTTCGGTGCATCCAACAATACCAGGTTGCACCTAAGCATGTCCAGGAGCTCAGCGATGCCCTGGTCAAGATCTGGGAGGAAAAACCATAGGACCCCAATGACGTTGTCGGGCTTGCATACAAGCATGTGGGAGCCATACAAACTACTGAGTACCATTTTGAGTTGCTGCAATGAAATTTCAGCAAAATGGACTAGTCTGCTGCATCATTTTTTCACTTTGATTTTGGGGTGTCCTCTGTAGGTTGATAATTTTCATTTCCATCAAATGATGGGGCATCTTTCCATCAGTCCATATCAGTATAGATATCCAGCATAATATTTTCCCCCATTAAAATCTGATGTGTTTTCAAAGTGTTCCTTTAATTTTTTTGAGCAGTGTACATATACTGTATATTTACTGGTTGAGCAGCCAAATCATTTGTATTTTGGTTTGGTATGTCCTATAAATTGTCTGCTACATCTTCATCTGCTACACTGCAAAACAAGGAGGATCACTTCAGCACTGGCTCAAGACACAGACCATAAGTGGTGGTAGATGGGGTAATTGTATCGTTAACCACTTTTCTACTGTTGTATGTCTTTAAACTTGGAAGTGATGGACAGTTATTTCTGCAGTGCTGTTTATAAGCATCATCACATTTAGACAGGAAGTGAAGGATAATCTTCCTTATGGTGACACAGGGAGCAATGAAATGCTGAAAGAACATCTACGTAAATCTTGCTTACTCCACCAAAAAGCTAGTTTAAACGAGCCAGTGCGCCTGTTAATGCCTGCATACCAAGCTATCTTTGGACAGTTCAGTTCATATACACTGGAGGGAGTTTACTAAAACTGGAGCAGACAGAATCTGGAGCAGCTGTGCATAGTAACCAATCAGCTTCCATTTTCAGCTATTTCAGTTAAAGTGGTTGTAAAGGCTCGAGGTGTTTTACCTTCATGCATTCTATGCATGAAGGTAAAAAACTCTCTGTGTGTAGAAGGGCCTCAGCCCCCACAATACTTACCTGAGCCTCATCGTGGTCCATCGATGTGCACAACAACCTTGGATGTCTGTGTCTCTGCCTCCTCATTGGCTGAGACAGCAAGCGGGAGCCATTGGCTTCTGCTGCAGTCAATCACAGCCAGTCAACCAATGTGGAGATGGGGTTTGGGGCCGAGGCACAGCTCCATATGTGAATGGACACACAGAGCAGCAGGTGCCCCCATAGCAAGCTGCTTACTATGGGGGCATTGGACAGAAAGGAGGAGCCAGGAGAGCTTGCAGGTGACCCGAGAAAAGGAGGATCCAGGCTTCTCCACGGCACCGCAGCACACGGCAGGTAAGTATAAATATGTTTGTTATTTTACAAAAAAAATATGAACCTTTAGTATCACTTTAAGCTTTGAAACTCCAGATTCTGTCTGCTCTTGTCTTTATTAAAGCTTACTTACTGTTTACAGGGCTGATTTCAGCCACTGTGTACCTTGGGGTCACTGTGATTGGTCATCAAGAGACTAATCACAGTGATCACAGAAGTAAACAGTGCAGTATGTACATATGTGACCTGCCCCTTCCTCTTACAATGGAAAAAGGGCAGAAAAGAAGAAATAATAAATTAATGGGTCATTCATTAGTTCCTGTTTACTGTACACACCACAGCAGCATTAGATACAAGTAGTTTTTTGTTTTAACTCTTTCACCCCCCCCCCCCTTTTTTACATATCTGATTTCCAACCTGTCTCTCCAGTAAACTGTATTAACCTGTCTCCTCCCTTATCCTGCAAATCTAAACAATAACCCCCTTACCGTCATCCTCTCACTATATGAGACCTGTAAATTAACTCCTTTACCACCTCCTTCCTCCGTGTATGATCTGTATGTACTATATCCAGTATACCATTACCAAGCTCCCGTCAGTACCAGCAAGAATGTGTTTTTAAATTTCCAACATATTGTTTCAAATAATAAGAAATGTTGAAGGCAGAACATGTAGGTGGTACATAATTCAATTGTGGGGTGGCATTGCCTACTAAGAAGGTTGTTGATGCAGAGGAGACACAATAAGCTGCATTGCTGCCATATTCAATAGGAATATTACTTGCCTAGTTTTACAGTATCTGAGATGTGTGTAAATCACAAGATTGACTAAAAAAAATTTTTTTTTCCAGGTAAAACAGTTAGTTTAGGTGTTCAAATTTACATTTCTTTAAATTTTTTGTCAGGAGTTCTAGTTTAATATACCTTTTCCATCACCATTAGGGTGAAGTTACATGGACATTATAAGGACAAAATACATTGGCAGGATGGTTATACAAATATCTTTTGGTTCAGCAATGAATTTTCTTGGGTCACATCTCCACCTAGCTTGCTCACTATACAACAAAAGCATGCCATCACTTCTCTCATGTTATCAGGTAGCATAAAAACTGAATCAGGAAGTATAAATGTGAGCTTACTGGATGGGGATTGTGGGAGAGGTGCAAATGTGGTTAGTAGATGCATGTTTTGCCATGTGACAAAGTAACTACAAATGTTCAAAAATGCTTGCTGAAAAATCATGCAATTCCTCAAGCTTGAAAAGGTACAGGAGCTTCTTTGATGCATTAGTCATGCATCGGGCAGTCTGTTCAAGGGAATGGGCTACCCTGTGCATGATGCATGGAAAGACATGAAAAACACACAAAAAAGAGAACTGGAATGAAAGTTCCTACTACGCAAAGTGTGAATGTTTTTCCACTTACATGTAAACGAAAATGAGATTAGATATGCCTTACCTGCCCCTATTACATAATAGAATGCTTCAAGCTTTTTTGACCAATCAACTGGTCCAGGTTGTACTAGGGAAATACAGCCCGAGGAGAAGTACATGTGCTGTCAGTGCATGCTCTTCGTTAGGTGTTAATGTTGTTTGTTTAATATCCACATCAGTTCACTTTAAATAAGAAGTATTGTCACAACTTAAAAAATAGTTGAATCCCCAGAGACCAAGTGCATGTAGTAAATGCTCCAGTGCTGAAGGTAGCATTTTGCATTAAAGCATATTTTAATTTCTATTAAATAGTTAAACCACGCAAATACCCAACCCTGATCGTGTACAAAGTAGCAAACACACCAAGAGGCTATCCCCTCTAAATCACAAATCAAATAAATAGCTCATGTTGTGCTAAGTGAAATTTGCATACATCAAAACATTCATAAATAATATACAAATAATTTATGTCCAATAAAGGATAAACAAAAAGTGCTCAAGAGTGAACCATTGCCAAAATGTAATATTTTAAATAAACATATGTGAAACAGTCCTTATAAGGTGTATAGAACAGTTCCCTTATTCTGTGATGAGTAATGGAAAGTCTTCATTCCAATATAACCACCAACGTGAGATTGCACCACTGTGATATCAAATTGGAGGCTTACCAGATCCTTTGACCCCTTAATTATAGGGGGGTCAATACATGCCCGATATGTATAATTCCATCTAAGCTTATGTGTCTCAGGTCAGATCACGTGCACCACCTGAGGCTCCTCAATCAGTCCCGATGTTATGGGGTCTACATGTACTCATGTGAAATAAAGAGGTGCCTCTCATAGTGCAGTAGATTAAAGACTAATTTATTAGATAAACGAAAATGCACTTGCAAGCATAGTAAAAAGCATCAATCAGCAGAAACAAGCTGTAAAATGGCAATCCAAGATCAAGACAAGATCAGTAATGTAGGGGAGATCCTCTAGCTATTGTCCAACCAGCTTGGAATGCAGCTTCTCACCAGCAAGAACGGTACTAGCTATCTACTCTGTGACTTACTCTTTAGTAACTTCTAAGCTGCCATGCAGGTGGACCTTTAACTACCAGAAGTGACTGTCGAATATGTAACCATGGCTCTAGGCTATGCTGGTTATTGAGCCCTGAGCGAAAAACTAGCTAGAGAATTGCAGACTAAAAGGGATAGGGTTAACTAAAATATCAGGAGTTGTATATAGACAGGTTCACCTATAGCATACAACAAGGTGACCACTACTTACACACACTGTATCACAGACTTAAACTATTTGGTATAGTACATATGAAATAGAAACAAGGGACAGATATACTTCTGTCACCGGTCTTTAGATATTATGTATACCCAGAGGTTATGTACCTAGAAACTATGTTCAAAAATGCTTGCTGAAAAATCATTTTTTATTAAATATAGGAGCACTTGCCTAATAATCCCTGCTTCTGGTCTGGACTCAGCAGCAGCTTTTCAATGGTCAGGATTAGAGATGAGCGAAGTATTCAAAAATTCGATTCGACTGATTCGGCGAATTCGTGGAAAAATTTCGATTCGAGTCGAATATATTTGCTGTGAATTTAACTTAAAAAAGGGTGTTTCTAGGCTTCAGAGAGACTTAATATTAGTGCAGAACACTGTACCTTTAATTTAAATGCCCTTGGAGTCTGCTGGGGAAGAGAAATAATACTGTCAGTCAGTATGACATGCAGATGAGTGCCGTCGATCTTAGAATCACCGCACACTTCACTCATTTGGGCAGTCACGGGGCCAAAACCAGAGTGTGGAGCCACAGTGTGGCGGTGGAGGCAGCAGCAATGGGAGGCCATACAGCACCCTATGACAAAAATGGAAACCACCAGCAGTGTGAGGAGACCTGAAAGTGGCACATGGCAGAGTGGGAGCAATGGGAGGCGGTACAGGGACCCAGGTCACACTGTGGGCCTGGCAGCAGCTATGGGAGGCCCGTAATCTGCCAGCACCCTATGTCAAAAAATTCAACACAACAGCAGTGTGTGAGGAGACCTGAAAGTGGCACATGGCAGAGTGTGGCGATAGAGACAGCAGCAATGGGAGGCCGTACAGGGACCCATGACACACTCTGGACCTGGCAGCAGCATGAGGAGGCGGTACAGGGGCCCATGACAGATTACGGGCCTGGCAGCAGCATGAGGAGTCGGTACGGGGGCCCATGGCAGATTACGGGCCTGGCAGCAGCAATGGGAGGCCATACAGGGACCCATGACACACTCTGGACCTGGCAGCAGCATGGGGAGGGCGGTACAGGGGCCCATGACAGATTACGGGCCTGGCAGCAGCATGAGGAGTCGGTACGGGGGCCCATGACACACTCTGGACCTGGCAGCAGCATGAGGAGGCGGTACAGGGGCGCATGACAGATTACGAGCCTGGCAGCAGCAACTTGGACAGGAGGACGTTCAGCTTCTGCACCGTCTGGTGCGTGCTCGCAAACTGTTGTCTCTTGGAAACGGATTCCAAGAAAGACTGCTGACGGAATCCGTGAAGAGGAGTAGCAGGAGAAGGAGCATCTGAACGAGCGGAATATGCCAACAAGCGACAACAGGGGCCCATGACAGATTACGGGCCTGGCAGCAGCATGAGGAGTCGGTACGGGGGCCCATGGCAGATTAGGGGCCTGGCAGCAGCTATGGGAGGGCCCGTAATCTGCCAGCACCCTATGACAAAAAATGGAACCCACCAGCAGTGTGAGGAGACCTGAAAGTGGCACATGGCAGAGTGTGGCGATGGAGACAGCAGCAATGGGAGGCCGTACAGGGACCCATGACAGACTCTGGACCTGGCAGCAGCATGAGGAGGCGGTATAGGGGCCCATGGCAGATTAGGGGCCTGGCAGCAGCTATAGGAGGCCCGTAATCTGCCAGCACCCTATGACAAAAAATGGAAACACACCAGCAGTGTGAGGAGACCTGAAAGTGGCACATGGCAGAGTGTGGCAATGGAGACAGCAGCAATGGGAGGCCGTACAGGGACCCATGAGAGACTCTGGACTTGGCATCAGCATGAGGAGGCGGTATAGGGGCCCATGGCAGATTAGGGGCCTGGCAGCAGCTATGGGAGGCCCGTAATCTGCCAGCACCCTATGACAAAAAATGGAACACACCAGCAGTGTGAGGAGACCTGAAAGTGGCACATGTTTGGGGCATGATTCATGGCGGATTTAGTCAGTTGTGTCAGGAACTGGTGGTTTGAAATCCAGACTAATCCACGCCTGATTCATTTTCACAAACGTGAGTCTCTCCACACTTTGGGTGGACAGTCGTGTCCTCCGCGGAGTTGCAATACCTCCTGCCGCACTAAACACGTGCTCCGATGCCACGCTACTGGCCGGGCATGACAGCCTTTCAAGGGCAAATTCAGCTAGTTGGGGCCAAAGGTCAAGTTTCGTTGCCCAGTAGTCAACGGGATTGTCTACCTCGGTTGGCAGGGTGCTGTCCAAGTAGGCCTAAGCCTGTTGTTTGAGGTCCTGCTCCAGGTAAACCTGATGCTGCTGCTGCTGCTGCTGCGGGCTGGTTAGTAGTTTCCTCACTGCGCTGGTGAAGAAAGCTACTCATCATCGACTGCAGACTGAGGCAGCTGCTGCTGGTGGAGCTGCCACTGCTCCTACCACCCCACCCCTCCCCTGCTGCCAAGGCAGCGGAACGCGAGCGCACAGGGCCCACAGTGTCTGAGGATGGACGTTGGCGCAGACAGGCAGAGACCAGCTGACTACATAGGTGGTTTTTATAGTACGTTATTTTTGGCCTCCCGCTCAGCAGGTGAAAAAAAGGCCACCATTTTTGAACGGTTGCGAGGGTCCAACAAGGTGGACAGCCAAAAGTCATCCCTCTGTCTGATGATTATTTTTCGGCTGTCGCTACGCAAGCAAGCGAGCATGCTATGGGCCATTTGTGCCAAGGAATGCGAGGGACTCCCTGCCTCCATCTCCACAGCATACTGCCACGGTGCGTCTGGGTCCTCTGTCTCCTCTTCCTCCTCCTCTACCAGATGCTCCTGCTCCTCCACTCCTGTCCGCTGAGTGGAAAAACCACCCATTTCACTCAATAATTCCTGAGCACCAATGTCCTCCTCTACCTCCTCCTCTTCTTCCTGTCCTGCCCCCACAGAGGTCATGTGGCGTTGAGATCTGTGCGCCACGTCTACCGCACCCTGACCAGCCACTGTTAACAGCCAGGACGTGCAACAGAGGTCATGACGTCGTTCATCCCATATCCTGCCGACTCACGAATAGCGTTGCCTCCTCAAAGGGCCCTGTGCAAAGCGCAGGTGTCTCGCATGAGCTGCCAATGGCATCTGAATTACAAGTTTATCCGCGTTAACAGTGGCCGAGTACCTTTATATCCTAACAGATTGGTTCGAATGCCGCCTTGTTTAATCACGTCAGGAATTCTGTGTATGGCACCTTTTGCTGTATCGTAAAGGGCACGTAATCTAACAATCTGCTCAGGGTTGAATTGAGTGCCACCTTGTTTGCAACGTCACAGCTCATGAGGAGTTAGGATCTATGGGGGCCCATGGACCAGATATAGGGGCCTATGGCATTTAGGGGCCAGCACTATGGGAGGCCCAGTAATCTGCCAGCACTCACTATGTCAAAAAATTCAACACACCGAGCAAGTGTGTGAGGTCCGAGAGACCTGAAAGTGGCTACATGCGCAGAGTTTGGTGGCGGCTGATGGAGACAGCAGCAATCTGCGGGAGCCGCGTACAGGAGGACCCATGACAGACTCTGGGGACCTGGCAAGCAGCATGAGGAGGCTGGGGGTAGATAGGCCTATGGCAATTAGGGGCCTGGCAGCAGCTATAGGAGGCACCATGATTCTGGCCAGCACACTTTGTCATAAAAAAATAATTCTACACACCAGAAGTGTGAGGGAAACCTGAAAATGCACATGGCAGAGTGTGCATGTGAACAAAGAGCAATATGGGTAATGGCGAGACTGCCCTTGTGGATGCAAGGTTTTTAGCGGTGGCTATGGCCAAGAATTAGGGGCCTGGCCATGCAGAACAATGGGAGGGCCCTTATTCTTTGGCCACAGCACCCTATGTCAAAAAATTTAAACTCCAGCAGTGTGAAGTGACCTGAATAGTGGCACATGGCAGCTGAGTGTGGCGATGGACGACAGCAGCAAGGGGAGGCCGTACAGGGGACCCATGAGAGACTCTGGATCCTGCCAGCAGCGAGGAGGATGCGGTTTCTAGGGGGAGCACATGCAGCTTAGGGGCTGGCAGCAGCTATGTGTGAGCCCGTAAAACTGCCCCGCACCCTATGTCAAAAAATTGAAACCCCCCAGCAGTGTTTTGTGGGGGACCCGAAAAAGGGGGCCCTGGCGGGAGTTTGGGATGGAGACAGCAGCAATGGGAGCCGTTTCAGGGACCCATGACAGAATTGGCCTGGCAGCAGCAATGTGGGGGGCGGGTATATAGGGGCCTTTTGGGGATTTGGGGCCTGGCAGAAGCTTTTAGGGGGCCCCTTTTTCTGCCCCGCCAAACCCTATGTAAAAAATTCAAAACACCCAGCCCGTGTTTAAGGGGGACCTTTAAAGTGGGCCCTGGGGGAAAAGGTGTGGGGATTGGGGGACAGCAGCAATTTGGGGGGCCGTACAGGGACCCCCTGACAGACTCTGGATTGGCAGAAAAAATGAGGAGGCGGGGTTTAAAATAGGGGCCCATGGCAGATTAGGGGGCCCGGAAGCAGTATAGGAGGCCCCTTTTCGCCGCACCTTTGTCAAAAAATTTAACCCC